TACCTTCTAGGTTTTAGCCATGTGGTTGCCTAATGTCAGACGAAAAAGAAAACTTAAGTATTTGCCTTAGTTGTTGCACTGGTGGTGTGAAAGTGGATATGACAATAGCAGTACTAATATAAATGGTGGTAGTAGATATGTAGTATGCAATGTTAAAGTCCGATGTTTCTTGTGAATATCAATAGAATGTACTTTCTGCAAACTTTGCAGTAACACTTAATATCTCAGTCAAAAAAAGTTAGAGATAAATAACCAATTAAAACAATATACTAACAGATCATTCAATCAATATCAAGCTTACACTGAAATAGACAGGTGAGTAAACAAACTTTGTGAAATAATCAACAGGAGCTGTTAGTTTTTTTCTTTTTGATACATCACAGTCCCTAAGAAGTTTGAATAAAGTAGAGGATAGGTTTTCAAAAATGACAAAATAATGTGACTGAAAGTCTGGAATTAAGTCCACCTTCTGGCAGCATTTACTGACTAGATAATTAAAAATAAAGTCAATCGCAGATTCAGTAAACTGTTTATAACAAACTATAAAATATCACAAACAAAAATATAGTTCCTATGTATCAAATCACTAGGACATTTGGAGGCTATTGCCTAGGACTGAAAGACCCTATACAGTAGTAACTTCTGAAAATATATATATTCTTAAGTATTTAGTTGAGTACTTGTTAGACTTTACATAACAAAAAGTTTGACAAAATCTGACTAACAGATTTCAATTTAACACCTCAAATATTTCATAAAGCTAGTGTTAGGCTATATCCTTGACAATTTCAATTATATTAAATAATAACGTCAAATATGATTTCTTTAGATGTTTATTCAGAACGAACTAACAAAATGAATACAATATTTCATTAAAAAATAATACAGACCCCTTTTAAATGACTGAAACAAACATTGTGAAACTTTAATAGAATGAATATTATGTTACTTCCATGCCTTGGTTGCTGTCATAGGAAACAGTTGGCTTAAGAGTTCCTATGCTGTCTTCATATTGTTGAATATGGTTATTTTCAGTAGTAATTTTATCACCTACTCCATTCATCTCTTCCATAACATTATCATTCCAATCAATTTTAAATCTAGTTACCCGGGGACTTGTAGCTAAGATATTGCGCTGTAACTGTAAATACAAAAGAAAGAATTAAATTTATGTTCAGAAAAATTTAAAAAGCAAATTTCTAAACAACAAAATGTTGTGAAGGATGTGCATTTGCTTATAAACAAATGTCTTGAAGTAAAATTTTACCCTCAAAGGCTCAGAGAAGAAGAGTACTAAAGAACAAATAAGTTATTTGAAATGTTATTATGAAGTACTTGATAACTTTACATTTGCATACAAAAATAACTGAGAAAAACTTTGAGTGCTATTCACGGTTTTGTGTCCATATCACACAGAATGAGATATATAACTTAAATGTATGTCATATTTATGAAAAGTTAATGAAATGGCAAAAACTTCCAATGTGTTCTTCATAAATGGGGTAAAGTTTTACTCTAACAGACAAAGTTTCTTACCCTATCTTCTCATTCACTTATGTACAATCGCTATAGAGTAATTATGTTAACTTTGATGGTATCATTAGGAAGATAATTTCTCCTTATGATCTTAATAAAAAAAAACTGTCTGGTTCAGTTGCAGTACTGACACCAAATTGGCACATTATAGGCCTATACCATCTCTTTTAGGACCAGTTTCAACCTACCATGCATGTTACATGAATAGACTACCTCTTTCAGTACCAGTTTCAAATCACCATGTTACAAGCCTAGCCCTTATGTCGACAGGTTGTAATCTTGTAGTAACTGTAAATATCTATAGCTAACAAAAAATAGATTGAAGACACAAATATTTAAACAGTTAATCATTAAATAATGAAATGTTTGAACTATTTCTTTACAAAAGGGGCTTTTTTTAGAATTGGGAACTTCAGAGTTCAAGTACGAGCCCTGGATTAATCGGTATATTATCTGAGTCAAAATTAATCTAAGTTTCTCTAATAAAAACAATCCATTGGGCACTGAAAAGGATGTACTTTCCAACATGAAAATATGTTAAAAGGTGGAAGTTTGAAGCAGTATTTATGAATTTATCTAAACTGCTGGTAGTTTTTACACCATGTATGTTAATGTCAAGAAGTTGAACAAATAATAGAAGATTTATGGTGAATTACATTCCACCCAAAATTGGTTGTCATCCATGTAATAATGCCCGTTGTTAAACCTGCAAGTTCATAAAAAACCACTGACTCATTTTCTGACAAGCACAATCAAAGAAACTTTAAAATATCCAAGAAAATTACTTGTGAAACAAAAAACACCATTTACCTTATACAGTGTAAAAAAATGCAATTACCAATATGGAGGACATACACAAACGACTCTTAGAGAATGTTTAAACAACCATAAATCTTCTATTAACACTGAAAAATATCTCTCTGTTGGTCAACACTTTAACCAACCCAGTCATCCCATTAACGATGTTACTCTCATCGACATTGAAACAGGATTCAAAACTAAAGCAG